CTTCCGTTTCAATGAGACGCATCAGTTGAATCATGACATACCCTTTATTTATAAAATTGTTAAATGGCTAATGTACTCAACTATTAAACTGAAGTGATTTATTTTTGGTCTATTTTTATTAATCGACTTCAAGGAGAAATGAGCTTTTGAATTTTGTAATTTTTTTATTATGTCAGTAATCCGTATATATATCAATTTAAATTTAATAAATTGATGTTTTTTGGAAAAAATATGAAATGTTATTTAAAGGATTAATCATTTTTAATGAAAATCAGTTCAGTAGTTTGGTTATTAAATCTAAATTAAGTATGGAACCTAACTCTATATTTTAGAAGTCGTTTTACTTTTATTTATGTAATTATTTAATAGAAATGTGTGAAATAGGATTGTATTTTCATTTTTATAAGTAAGGGTGTAAACAAATGATTAAAATCATCATGATGTCATTAGTAAGGACTGAGTAACTTTATGAAAAAAGGTGCGATGGAATATTATAAGTCATGGGTTGGTTGTAAGTAATACTAACGCTATAGTTTGACCATAACCGCTGTACCGCGCCTTAGGTATGTGCGACGAAAGAGCGGCCGGTACGGTCCCCCGCCTCGCCGCACATACCTAGGGCGCGGTACGGCGGTTACGGTCAAGCTATAATATGGAATGCTTTAGTGACAATGAACATGCCACAAGGTTAGATAACCCCGTCAGTACTTATATCACGGACCGCAGTAGCGAAAAGACGAAAGAACAATCTTATATACACTGTAACACTAATATATTGCAGTGTTGATTAAGTAATCTAGTTGCTAACAATTCTTCAAATTGACTTTGTTATATAATAATATTCTTCTTCCAAATCTATTCTCCATATATTGGAGAAGATAATACATAAATTTTCTTTTGAAAGAAATTGGAAACGATTGATTGAAAGTGATTGCGTACAATTTGACAGTTGCCATTGCAAACGATGTAATTGAGGTTCTGGGCTGTCAAATGGTTCTTGCGGAATCGCATGTCTCAATTGCAGTCGTTCTTATAAGAAACAAGTTGTAGCTTTATTTTTATATAAGTAATTAGCAATATAAGAAAAATATTTAATGTATTTGAAAGATTGTCAAATGGAGATTAAAACAAAATTGTACGTACAAGAACAGAACTATGAACCTGATAGATTACAAACTTATATATATTTGAGGAGCCAGTAGCAACAGATACCTAATAATTAAACAACTAATTTTAAAAATATGTTTTCGCATTTTCGCTACTGCTTACGATTGTATACTGACCATAAATTAACAAAGTTACATTCCGCTTTTTATTAAAAAAAAATCATTAATTTGTATATTCAAATAACACCCGTGTACTGATCTAGTTCTCCATTGAAAGCATAACTGTATTAATATATTACGTTTAAATGATAAATTAGATTAGATCTATTATAGGAGTGATTCGTTTTTTTTATTTTTATATTGCTCAAAGTATATTTTTCATTTAGTTGATATGTAACCACGTCGTGTTTGTATGTTTTCGTGTATATTCTCAGATATAAGAGCATGATATGATACCATTGTAAGTGCAGTGTATAATATTTAACATTATAATTTATTTATTAATTTGCAAACTTGTATTATTTAATCAACCTGCCCTTTTCTATACTGCAAATATTATTTATTGAAATAAATTTTATAGGGGGAAGGAAATCTCCTCCCTATATATTATATCCTATAATATTAATAATAATCATTAGTAATGTGACTCAATGTCCCCATTGCCAGCAATTATGGTGACTATTGTTGACCCGCGACGCAGATTTTCGAAGTCTTCGGATACCTAGTATAGGCACCAGTTCTGCACAAATTTGTACTTTAGCATTAAATTTTGCAGTGGCTATGTTTCATTTTGTATTACGACTATAACACAAAACAAAGTACCAAGCCAGGTTGACCTCTACGTGGTTCTCGTGGGGAACCGTGACTAATTCCTGGTGAATTTGTCACGATGGCCCAAATGACCTGACCTCATATCTACTTTATTCTCCTCTACTGGCCCGCCAGCGTAAACCGTTGGCGCAGACAAGTGGGCGGTGCACCATTCCATTATCATCCATAAAAAAATATTGGAACACTTGTTTGTTTTTTTTCTATCGATCATCACAAGCAAGGAAATAAGCACGTAACACGATATTATTGTTTTATAAAAAATATGCATGTTCAAGTAAATGTTTGTATACAAACTACCAAACGTTACAAGATTATAAAAGTCATTGTACATTTTAAAAGTACAATTCTACGTGTAGCACGTGTATGACGCGTGATAGTCAATCATTACCTACGTTCAAACATATTTTAGGGAGCTGTTATTAGGTCATTACGCCGCCCCACTTGTCTGGTCATTTCAATAAACATTTAATCGTAAAGTGTAAATATAATAGAAATAAAAAATACTCTACATATGACAAACGAGACGATTGTAAATAGCCACGAAAAAAGTTAAATTAGTATTTAAAAAACTGTGCAATACTGTTCATTGTTTATTAAATACTAATTTAATTTCGTATTAAACTAATGCAATTAAAAAGTGCCCAAATATAAAATTTATTTGAATTCCATTCTGTTTTTAAAATGAAAATTAAACTTATTTCCTAATCTGATTAATATTATAAACGCTAAAGTTTATTTATTTGCTTTGAATAGGTTCATTATTCTTACAAATTAATTTACAGTTCTATATTCAGCTGCATTTTGAGCGTGCAAATTTAAATTCATGTTAATATAACTTGTTAAATGTTAACAACGAATGTCATAATTATTTATATTGTTAAATGTCCAAAATTAAGTAATAATAAGTATGTCCAAAATTAAAATTAAATGTAATAATAACAATTTATATCTTTTATAGGAAATAATCCGTGTTTGAAGTTGAGCTTCTTGTATTCAGCGCTGAGGATATGTTGTAGTAGTCGATCATCGTTGAAAATACTCCTGCATATTGTAAAAGCATTTATCTATTAACTATTTCTTAAATGCTAACTTAAAGGGCTTCAAAGGCAGTTCTTTAAATTTTGGTATATTATTGTATATTTTTGCCATCATTACGTAACAATTTTTTTCATATAGTGTACTTCTACATGACGGCAACAATAATCGTGTTGGATTTCTAGGTTTATATCTGCTATTGACATCCGCCGTTTGTGAGAATACATGGGTAAATTACGTAAAAACTACCGAACGGAGTTTGAACTTTACAGTAATATATCTTATACATCAGAATGACACAACCTATAAACAACAATGACACAACAAATGACACAACCTAAGTCTAATGAAAAGTTATCTAGAGGATAGGGTGCAAACTGTAGATATTGATGGTGTAAAGTCTAAGGGAACTAATATAAAAATGGGCGTTCCTCAAGGTTCAATATTAGGCCCATTTCTCTTTTTAATTTATATAAATGACCTTTCCTACATGGTAGAGAAAGTTGCAGATATAGTGTTATTTGCGGATGATACTTCGTTAGTGTTTAAAATTGGTCGCCAATGTAATCAATTAGACGATGTAAATTATGCTATCTCTGCTATACTAAATTGGTTCACATGTAATAATCTATTATTGAACTCCAACAAAACTAAGTGCATTAAATTCACGCTGCCTAATGTAAAACAAGTAAATACGCAGCTATTGCTTAATGATGAAATAGTAAATTTTGTTAATGATACAGTTTTTTTAGGAATAACAGTGGACTCGAAGTTACAATGGGGGCCCCATATTTCAAAATTAGCCAGTAGACTTAGTTCTGCTGCTTATGCAATTAGAAGGATAAGGCAATTAACAGACGTGGCGACGGCAAAACTTGTATATTTTAGTTATTTCCATAGCATTATGTCATATGGCATACTGCTATGGGGTAAAGCTGCCGATATAAATACTATATTTATTTTACAAAAGAGAGCCATACGTTCTATTTATGGCATGGGTTCTAGAGAGTCATTACGTCAATGCTTTAAACAATCAAATATCCTCACCGTTGCCTCACAGTACATTTATGAAAATATTATGTATACAAGGAAAAACTTAGATAGTTTCAAGAAACTTAAAGACTGTACAAGTAGAAACTTACGCAATAAAAATAAGCTAGTTTTACCTAAATGCCGTCTACACAAAGTTAGTAATTCATTTTATGGTAATTGCGTAAGATTCTATAATAAACTGCCAGAGTCTACTCTAAATCTTACAGAGAGGCAATTCAAATCTTATATTAAACAAATGTTATGTAAAAAAGCCTATTATAAGATAGATGAATTTATAGATGATAGCAATATATAGCAAGAATAAGTTTATTTGCGGACAACGTTATAATTTTAATTTTCATACTGCTTTCTTGATATATGATAGCGTAGCGGCTTTTGTATTGATTGCCGCATGCATCCTTATGTAAAGTGCGAATACTGTAACTACCATATAGTAATTTTTGTAGCTGTGACGTGGTCGTGTGGAATGAGTAGTCATGCTCACTAAAATGTCCAGACATGTGGCGGCGTGGTGGGCCGGGTCAATGGGCTCCCTAAAATATGGTCGAGCGCAGTGATGGCTGGCTCATCCGTCATACTCGTGAACGAGTGCTGCTTGTAGGGACTGGTCTGCTCTTATCACTACGACTGATTTAATCTTATTGCAAGATTATATTTGACCCAAAAAATTAGTGCTTGTTGGTAGTTTGTATTCACACGTTTCGACTTGTAAATGTAAACTTACAAGGATTATTTAAAAGAGCAACACACAAGTTTCTTGCTCGTTCTTCTTGTGATGAGACAGCTTTCCGAACGAGTGGTAGATAAAAAACAAATTGTTATGACTATTCAAAAGTGCTTAAATTAAGTTTATTTGAATAAATGATTTTCTATTCTATTCTATTCTATTCTATTCTATAAATCTCATGCAACTGAAACCGTGGGCATAGCTAGTGAGTACAAAACTAACAGGCCAGTTTCCGTGACAATGCTAAAACCACAACAGTCAATTTCGAACCAACTTATATTAGCAACTATATCGACAAAACAAAACACGACTGTCGCTACACGGTCGTACATTGTCTTATTTTATCTGTGACCGTGTTAGAAAGCGATGTTATCGAGACGAGATAAACTTCTAGTGCAGCCGTGGGAGGACCGACGGTACAAAGATCACAGACTGAAAGTAAGTTCGATGACTTTAATACGGAAATATATGTTCCACAAAAAAATTAACTAGGTACTAAGTGAATACATACGTACCTATTCACCTCAGGGTAGCTACCGCCATATCTGCCGCATCAATTATGGGGGCCTCCCGTGGTCCGGGGACCCCGTATAATTGATACGTGCGTTATGTAGAATAACATCCCATTTTTTTTATTTCACAAATGACAAAAGTGATAAAAAGCAATTTCTTTTTTTTCCGCCACAGCTATACTGACAGATAATTATGATGAATAAATATTTCTTTTAATTTTATGCATTTTTTTTCTTTTGTGAGAAATCTTTACCCCAAAGAAATATTTATACGGCGCCCCGCAAGGCACGCTACGCATCTGATTCATCTTAACTCACTGAGTAAACAAGTAGGTCTATTAAGCTGAAAAGAGACTGAATTAAATATAGTTAGTTATAAGTTGGTTCGAAATTGACTGTTGTGGTTTTAGCATTGTCACGGAGACTGGCCTGTTGGTTTAGTATTCACTAGCTGTGCCCGCGGTTTCAGTTGCATGAAATTTATAGGTTGCGTCATTCTGATGTATAAGATATATTACTGTAAAGTTCAAACTCCGTTCGGTAGTTTTTACGTAGCCTGTAAAATTGCAAAAAAATAATCTAAACTTCATTTAACATATTTATTAAAGTTCGGGCGTGACAGTCTCTGAGTTTGTATGGTGTTATTTAAACGGATACGGAAAGACACAAATCCAAACAGTCAATTTTATGTCAGGGTTTAGGTCTGTGTGAATTCTATGAATATTCCAATGGATGATAATTGTATTGTGCACCCGCCTGCTCTAACGGTTTACGCTGGAGAGATACCAGTGGAGGATGATAAGATGAGCATAAAGTCAAATTAGTTACCCCTTAGTGGTAAATTCCACTAGGAAGATCCCCTCCGATCGATCTCCCGTCAAATTCAAACGGGGATCGAAATTACGACGGCCTGAGCCGAGGTTCGAACCCCTAGTGGTGCCCTCAGGCTAAAGTCGTATTCGTCAGGCAGGAGTTGGCCTTCAGCCGCTCCATAAGTCCTTCCGCGGGTTTGGAGTGCCATCTGCACTCGCCCCCTAACGTCCGGTGAAGCTGTAAAGGCCAGCTGCGGCCAACAGCATTAGAGTAGTCCGAAAAAAAAACTAGGAATTTATCACGATGGTTTCCAGGGAGAACCGCGTGGATGTCAACCTCCATGGCACATTGCTAGGATCAGTCCATATCCTAACAAACCCGTACCCCTATTTTATGCATATTATGTATATAATTACGAAAAAATGTATCCATGAATTTGTATCAATTGCCTAGTACCTATAATACAAGCTCTGTTTTTCTTGGAACTAGATGGCGCTGTCTGAATTGTTCTGAGAAATTATTTTTAATTATACATTTGAGGTAAAATCAGCCCTCCCTGCTATCGACGACCGTCCGCCAGCGACGCGGCCGCATGTTGTCCTCAAACTGAAGAAGTGCCAAAGGGAACTTGACAGGAAGAACAAGATACAGAAAGACAATTTCGGTTTGCTGCAGCGGTTGAATAACATTATGAGAGAGAAACGGCTGGATAACCAGTGGACGAAACCTCTACCTAAGTGAGTGCATTAATCCTTTTCAAATATCTGGCTAGCAGTGTATAAAATTTGGCTAAAATGTCCTATACATGAATATGTGATTTTTTAATTTGAATTTAGATTAAACGGACATACAAATGAACTTGCCGAACTTTACAACTGCAGGGATTGGGGAGTCTTAGGTTGAAGATATGACATCCAGGTGTACCTACAGTAGTAATAGGTAGTGTCTTTTCCTAGTGGAAATATTCGTAGACAGCGCCTGAGAGCTGAGTCATTGGAGCAGCTTCATTAATTGTAAGGAATACAAACAATTTAAGGAAACGTGCCATCAAATTGGATTATTGTTTAAAAATAAACAGATTGTCAGTTAAAAAAACTGACTTTTAGTGTTAATTTGAAGGGTATGATATGAAATGACAAATTTATGAAAAAATGACTAAAGTCCTCAGGAATGCTGACGCAGGAGTCGTTTTTTTTGGACTACTATAAAGCTGTTCAAATTTATTTTAGCCGCTTATAAATGACAAGTATTTTGTAATTAATATTTTTTCCCTACCGTTGGCCGCAGCTGGCCTTTACAGCTTCACCGGACGATAGGGGGCGTGTGCAGATGGCACTCCAAACCCGCGGAAGGACTTATGGAGCGGCTGAAGGCAAGTTGCTTGACGGATATGACTTTAGTCTAAGGACACTAAGGGTTCGAACCTCGACTCAGGATCGCGATTAATACAGATTCGCTAATGGTAGCGAAATTAAACAAAATAGTACAAATATATTAAGTAATGATTTCACACCTATCTTCCGCTGGTAATGTATAGTTAGGGGCTGTTCAAGTATTACGTAAGCAGATTTATCACAATTATTTACCCCCCATCCCCCGTTGTCAGCAAAAGTAAGCAAAGCTCTTACCCCCTCCACCCATGCTTACGTAAACATCTCTCAATTAATGTATTGTTTTTTTTAGCAAAGACAATGTGAGGGTTGCCATTCCTGTAAAAAAGTAAATTACGACCGATGACGTAATCATCATACAGACTCCCCCACCCCCATGTCATCCAAAATAAGCAAAGAAAAGACCCCCCGCCCCCCTATAGTGCTTACGTAATACTTGAACGGCCCCTTACTATTAATTAGAAATCTATAATTACAGCTTCCAACACAAAGTGGGTCTGTTCTTCGACGCGGAATCTCTGCACAGTAGGGTAACAGCACGCTCTAACGTTGACGAATCTCCCGACATTTCATACAGCAACGTCAAATGTTACGCGTGCAATCTCAAAAAGGTAACGAGTTTGAATCTGTACTTCACTTATTGTAAATGCGAAATTAAACATTGTATTTTTAGCGTCTATATTGTTACCGCTATTATTTATGTTTATGTTGTGTTCTTGTAGCAGCAGCGGGAAAGAAGGAGGTGAAATGAGTCCAGATTGTTGTTATGTACATATTTATAATTACGAAATATTTACAATGAATATATAAGTATGTACAAGAAAGTGATTCGGTCTCGAATGCCAGGCCTGTTATTCTATTCGTTTGTCGTAACTAGGCAACGGTGTTGCCGCGCGATAATAGTTAATTCGCCACATATTAATTTAACAATTGAACAAATTTTGACGAATTTGAGTGTAGGGATAGATTGTTAAAAGACATATGCTGTTGTTTGCGTAAACAAAACTTTATGGGTGTGAAAAAGATGATGTCAATTTGCTAATCTGCATTAGTTTGATATTGTTTATGGTTAGTTTAATTATTATGGTTTGATATAACCATATCATATGTTATATATCTAGTATGATATACTAGTTGATCCGGTAAACGTTTTACCGTATAATTTAATATAGCTATTAAAAAATAGGGGTTGAAGGGTGAATTTTTTTGTGTTGAAAAATGCCGAATTCCGCCTTCTCAATGATATCAGTATAGCAATATTAATGGTTTTTTTTTCTTTAGGTTTGCAGGATAAGAATAATGTTTACAAAATTAATTTAAGTATTTTTTTTTTCAGAAACACTTTCGACTTGAATTGGATGGTTCAAAACGAAATGAACTTCTCCTACCTGCGCTTTTCTTAAATTAAATATATGATTTTAATAATATTTATTAGTATTTTTATTAAGCGAGTCGAGTTCAATGTACCGTATATGTTATACTGTCATATGACATATGTCTCAACCTTTGCTATTTATAAGATTATTCCACAACCTGCGGACTACCTTACTTCGTCTGCGTCACTTTCTTAGTGTAATTCTGATGTATAAGTTACATTAATGCAGTTTTATCAAAATTCGTTCAGCAGTTCTTGCGTGAAAAAGTAACAAACATCGATTCATACATACAAACATTCGTGTTTGTAATAATAGTAAGGAAATTTTTGAGTAGTCTTGCCCTAGTCAATAGTTTATTACCCCGTATTTTGAGTTTAAATATATTCTACACCAAAAACAGTTTTATTTTTGTATACTTGAGTGGTAGATACGAGACGGAGGTAGGCTCGTCCATTACCACACTTAATTTAAACATGACCACATTAAGAATACCAGCGTCGTGGCACCCCATCACGACGTATCCTGAGCGGTGACCTATTTGGTACTATGTAATTGATATACATCAGTATGTAATTTAAAATATAAAATTATTTTTATTATTGTTATGTACCAAATAAATTATTTTCTTTTTTCTTTTCAAGAATTAATTTCAGCAGGACGCCAACGGGTGACAATGTCATTGGGAAAATGTAATAGAATAGAGTTTATGTTTGTTTTTGTTCTGTCTATCCTTCATCGGAAAGGCAAAGGGCTGCTGCCCATACAGCCATGTCTTCATATTTCTTGATAAAATTAAAAAAATAAATTAAGCACTTTTGCTTTGCTTAGCGATGAAACCGTCCCTTGTACTAGTTAATATATTTTAATTGATATAGTTCTGTATTTTGTGCAATAAAAAATAATTAAAAATAAACTAAGCACTTTTGAATATATTTATAATTAATATATCTATACTCATTTTTAAATCTACCGCTCATTCGGAAAGATGTCTCATCATAATAAGAACGAGCAAGAAACTTGCGTGTTGCTCTTTAAATAATTTAGTTGTAACATTACATTTTTAATTTGAAATCATTGTAAAGCGCAAAGGTATATGTAATATATTTATAGGTAAATCAAAATACGATTTGTAATATTGGACAGAATTTATTGGCATATACAAATGGGTTCATTTTCGGAACAATTTCATAACCATGATTATATAGTGTCGTTCTGGGCTCGGGGCCCCGCTATAACGCATGGTTATTTCATGAGTTAAAAACGAAACATAAATACTATGTTATTTATATCAAAAAGCATCAATCTGTAAGCAGAATACACTAGTCACATACGTCATACGGTATGCACAACTTAACGTTAAAGCTATCGTGTCCATCGTCCACTATCAATTTATATATACGAAATCCGAAAACAATGATGAAACATTTCAAACATCACAATAATTTGCATCACAACGAAGCCGTAGCACCGACGAAATTTCATTTTACAACGCGTATTTTACAACGGACCACGGTGCTAAGGCCTTTTTGCTCAACCGCCCGTTGAATCGACGAACGATAATATATTAACAGTTGCTCGATTATTTAAAAAACACGTCGCGGATTCGTGCGCCGTCAAAATACATCAAATGGAGTCGTTCGTGGATTCATCGGGTAGAGTCGCGGCTCAGGAGCGAGCGCGGCCGCGGTCTAAGCGTCCGGGTTATGTCGGACGGTCTCCGTCCGGGTTTAGACTCGTCCGGCTCGAGCCGGACGTCCGGAGCCGACGGACCGCGGCCTGATGACGCATCACGGCAGCGTCCTCACTATCAGAGTTAACATTACTTTAATATAATCGATGACGCTATTCGATCGTCGCGTCACCGGTACGACCTGTGGGCGGCCATCGAGCCGAGGCTCGGGCCGCTCGAGTCGGAGAATACGAGTAGAGGCGATGGGGCGGGCAGTTAGAAGCGGAATCCATCGTGTTGTCCGCCGGCCGTCGGCTCGAACTGGAAGCCGGAGTCTGCCGCCGCAGGCACCAGAGACGTGTCTTCCTCCTAAACACACACAAATCCATTTCACAAACTTTAAACGTTAAAAATGCTTTATTCAAATAAACTTCTCAATTCAAGAAGAACGAGAAAGAAACTTGCGTGTTGCTTACATTTCTCAATTAAAATATGTGAATACAAACTACCAACTAACACTAATACGAGTCAAAACTAATAAAAAAAAAAATATGATAAATAGTGGGTAATATGACTGATTAAATTTTTTTTAGTTTGCCTTTGTTATCACAAGACAAAATAAACATAGGATAATCTTACCCAATTAAAATAAGTAGTGCAATTATTTAACGAAACTCAATATCTTTTGCTAATAAACATAGATTGAATATAAAATTATGTTTTTGTCCTTTTCATAGATAATCTGTTAAATATAAATTACCATAATATGATAATTTATCATGTATATATTCTTACACTCTATCATGAATCTTGTATATTATACAAGATACCTGATAGAGTGCGAGGACTCTGAGGACAAGATAAAGTGGTAGAGAAAAATAAGGAAAGCAGACTCGAACACTGAAGGGAAGGCGAAACTGACATGGTACATTGCTAGCAATAAGATCAACAATCCACATTATTAACAATCCACTTTCCCCCCCACGGAAACCGTTTTTTTTTATGGATGATAATGGAATGGTTCACCAGTCTGCGCTAACGGTTTACGCTGGCGGGGTACCAGTGGAGGATGACAAGATGAATATAGCATGACGTCAGGTCAGTTAGGCCATCGTGACAAATTCACCAGGAATTTATCACGATAGTTTCCAGGGCGAACCGCGTGGAGGTCGACCTGACATTGTACATTGCTAGCAATGGGGTTATCAATCCACATTACTAACAATCCCCTTTCCCCCTAACGGAAACCGTTAGCGCAGGCGGGTGCACCATTCCAGTGTCATTCATCAAAAAATACCCGAGTTATCAGTGACAGCTGGTCGGTATGTTTTGGCATTATAATTTTAGATTGCGACTGATATTATAAATGCATAGATATAGTTATAATAGTATCGGTATCAAGTAATCGAAATCAATACAATATATAGAAACGATATTATCTATACCTAAGAACATTAACAAAACTCAATTACATGATTAATTAATAATAATCTCAGGACAATTCACACAGCGCCATCTAGACCCAAGTTAAGCTAGCTAAAGCTTGTGTTATGAGTACTAGATAACTGATACAAGTACATAGATTTTTTTTTTCGTAAATATGTACATATTATACATAGACAATCATAATAAATGTTTTAAGGACTCATTTCATAAAAATATACTCGAGTTAAATAATATATGACTCACCTCGCCGGCAAAGTATTGCTCAATGATATCGTAGGCCATCTTGTATATCTCCACCTTCTCGTGGCTCTGCAGCGCTTCGATCTTGTCAATGCCGCCACACTCCTCAATAATGTTAGCCACCTGCTCCGCATTCTCGCCGGCCATCTTCAGCATGTTGCTGAGTCCATCCAAAACAACCTGGGAACGTCATCCGTTTACATACACACACCGCAATGTTTATTTGCCCCGCTGGCAGCGTGCCAACACCAAACATGAGACAACTCTAATTTTGTAAATCACTATATAAAGTACATAACTAGTACAACATGTTGAATATTCCGTTTGCTCCAAAATGCGGTAAGTTTTGCGGGAATTGAGCGTATTTTATTTTATAATAATGTAACCCTGGACAATTCACATAACGCCATCTAGTCCCAATGTAAGCAGAGCTTGCAGAGAATACATAGATAACTTTTTTTTTAATAAATACATAGTACATAGAATACGTACGGCCAACGGTAAACGGTTACTGCGCGTTGTGGACCTTTAAGAAACCTTAACCCTTCTTTAACAACCCATGCTAGTAGTCTCTTGAGAAAACTTCGTCCAGTAGTTATTCCACAATCTAAATATACGCAGGAAGAAACTCCTCTGAAACCGCACTGTTCGAGACTTATAAGTTCCAGCGTGTGGGGATGAATTCCCATCATAAAACATCATATTATATGAAATTGGCTAGACAAAACCGCAGATCGCAGCGGTCTATAGGTGAACATTGAATAAATGCAAATACTTACATTTATAACTTGTGTATCCTTGCAGGCCAGTAGATTACAGAACGGTGGTATGACTCCGCACGAGATGAGGGTCGCCACCTGGTCCTTGGTACCGCTTATGCTCAAGTTGGAGACGGCCCACGCAGCCTCCTTCTGCGTCTGGAACTCGCCTTTGCTGAGATTCTCCACGATCTTCGGCAGTAGCCCCGCGTCGATCACGGCCTGCACTTGGTGCTTGTTGCCTGCTGTTATATTCGATAAGAACCATACGGCTTCTTTGCAGATTTTCTCTTTCTGTTGAAGAAATGTTTATCTTGGAGAAACCCTTTTAAACTGAGCGTACATCCTACTATGGTAAGATGGAAGGACGTTTAGTTAATCTAGAAATTTATACGACTACTTAAAAATCATGAATAGTTTTTTTTTTATTTTTCATACGAGATTCTTTTTTTTATTCTTACGAGTCTAACAATATAATAGACAATCAACTGGTTGAATATCTAAATAACAATAAATTAGTTGAAGCGATTAAAGCAGAGTACCTAAAGGCAGGGCTTGTAATTAGCTCATGGACCATATATTCACATTCAGCAATGAACTCCGTTGGATATACGACATTTCTCAACTGGCAGTAGCTAGCACAGAACACAATAGCTACTTATTTTGTTCTGTGAGCTAACAGAACTGGATGAAAGGAAAAATATATGATATCCATAATTTCGACACCAGCAATTTATACTAAGCTAATTCGAATTTTCAGTAACTTCGTTATTTTTATATATTTCTTAATATTTTTTTTGTTATTTCTTAATATTTTACAATATATAAAAAACACCATTTTAAGCAGTTTAGCATAAAAAGACGAATTTACTGAAAATTCGAGTTAGCTTAGTATAAATTGCTCGATTTGACGAGTGTTCTAAGTACGATTAAATTGACTTTTGATTGAATACCTATTTTAAATAAGTAAAACATTAGCATAAATTAGATGTAGTACAGAAGCGTAAATAAAAATAGCTTTGTATTGTAGATGCTATTGAACTGCGGAGTAGTTCATTCATTGTAGTTCAATTATAGTTCATACGCGGTGCTCTAGTGATGCGACAACCGATTAGAGGGGAGGCCTTCCGCTTTTTCGCGTTCTTCCTCACTATACTAATTACATCCTGCGAACGTCAACCAAACGCCTTGAAAATTTTTCAGTACCAGTGTGTTACGCTTCGACAGGGTACTAACTAAAAGGATATGGGTGTATGGCAATAGTTGTTCATGCACGGGATTTTCATTAAATGTTAGAAATATATAAGTAAATATTGGCTTAAAAAAAAACAAGAAATTCAGGATTTTCTTGCCAGTTCTTCTCAATTTAGTCTGTATACTGAACTGGACGGTAGGAAATAAAATAATATAGTAAGACAAAAATTTGATTTTATATGCGACGAGAATGTTCTATATTACTACTAGTATTTTAGCGCCATTTTTAAAAATAATTATCATTGCAAAATGGCGGACATCTGACTATAGAGCGAAAACAATTATATACTTATTGATAATAATTTATAAATCTCAAACGTGTCTTTAGAAAACAAAATGTGTGATATAAAAAATAATAAAATTTAAAAACGCGCGCCTAGGTTAATAAAAAAATAATGGTTATATTAAATCGCTTACGATTGCGCGCGCTGTCTTTCCCGCGCAAAATCGCGCGCGTATAAAGTCAGCTAAAAGTTCACTCACCTGATGTGACAGTAGTGCGGGGAAGTGTGAGAGCGCATCGCAGTTGAGCACTACTTGCGTCTGTTCATCGGTTCCCGTCACTATGTTGCCGACTGCTCTGAGTGCCGCTGTTTGCACTTTAACTTCCTTGTGTGACAGCAGGGGGATTAATTTGGGGACTATGCCGGCTTCTATTACCATTTGGATTTGTTCGTTGCCACCGTCTGTTAAATAGCTTATAGCCCAGACAGTGTCCACTAGTATCTGTAAACATGTAAAACAATGTCACAAGTTTGATAAATAGCTTATAGCCCAGACAGTGTCCACTAGTATCTGTAAACATGTAAAACAATGTCACAAGTTTGATAAATAGCTTATAGCCCAGACAGTGTCCACTAGTATCTGTAAACATGCAAAACAATGTCACAAGTTTGAAAATAAATAAATAAAATACTATAAATAATCTTTTATATATAAAATTCTCGTGTCACAGTTTTCGTTCCCATACTCCTCCGAAACGGCTTGACCGATTCTCATGATCTGAGAATCGGCCAACATCTATTTTTCATCCCCCTAAATGTAAAGGGTAGTCCAACCCTAAATTTTTTTTTTTATTTTAAGGCAAAACAACGTTTGCCGGGACAGCTAGTAATAAATAAAATACTGTATGATGATGCCTACAGTATTTTATTTATTATAAATTATAGTTATTAGTAGTAGTTAGTAAGTTATATTGTTAACCGTCTCTTACCGGGTAACCAGTCTTAACAGGTTTTTATGGCAGTAAATTATTAGTATCATTTTATGATAGTTCTCATCAAGATCGGCAGTTAACAGGGTACAATAGTGTCAGAGAGAGGTATTTGTCAAATAGCATACAGGAAATTGAATCTGTATATTCAACTGGACGGTAGGGAAAAATTAAAAATTAAAAAATAAAAATTTTATGTTCATAAGCCGCTAATATGTCCTACATAAATAAATTATTATAGAATTTAAAAAAAAATGTAATTTTTTATATTAGTTTTAGTATTCTGTTACTTGTTAGTTCAATTACAGACAAAAACTGTGTACCTATTTACCAAAAATTATGAAGATGAATGAGTATGAAATTGGCAACAACTTAATGACGAAGTGCAGAATTGTGATATTTTTTTAATAATGCTTAAAAATACATAATATAAAAAGAATTACGCACACACTATGTTTTCTTTGACTCATATGACAAACATATAACCTTATGACTCTTTCAATTTTAATTTAAATTAATGTTGGTCAAAGTTCAACCAATGGGCGACCATTAGTTTGTTTTTATTAAGCACTTTAAATGTTTCCTTATATACTTATATTTAGGAAAAATAACAACAATTGTACACTCAAGCAGCTAAAACAGAATCATTAACAAACCAAAACATGAGTTGTCATTTACATTGAGACACTATAATGAAAGAAAGAAAAATATATTTATACTAGCTGATTCAGCAACCTTTGATTTGCCATATAAATGAAAATCACTATTAAAAAATAGGGGTTGGTGATAGAAGGGAGAAAAGCTAGGGTTGCATTTATTTTTAAGGCCATAATAAAGAAATGAAAATAAAAAAATATTGAAAATAATTTTTTTTTGGGTGAGCCACACTTAGGGGTATAAAAATTAGTTTTAAACCTATTGAATACCTAAGACCTACTGAATATATAAAATTTCACCATAATCGGACAGTCGGGTTTCAGGGAAGTATAAACACGAAACCTGTGCGACTTGAGAATTTTATATATCAGATGGTGCATAATGCAGTTGATCTTCTTGAGATATATGCACTACATTTCATAACTTTGTACTGTTTTACATAGCAGTGTCAACAGCAATGACTAACTTCAACTCAGCACAGATAGTGCAAATTAAGCAGTTGATAACAAAAATACCTATACAATTTGAGTAGGTATATCCAGTAAGATTATTTATCTTTTCAATTCATCTTTATATATTGGATGTTATAAGTGTAAACAATATAAAACAAAATAGATAAGGCAAAAGTTGTTAAGTTTCCCAGTCAATTTAATGTAGAATTAAGAATAGAAATAAGAGTTTATAGAAAGTTATAGAAAGAGTTTATATGAAAGTTTATGCTTATGTTCCTGGTTCTCTGATGCCACTTGTATCTGGATATTTTATATATCTAGTTATTAGTTAACCGCCCCGGGTTCGCATGTATTATACATATAAACTTTCCTCTTGAATCACTCAATCAATTGCTAAAAACTGTGTTAAAATCTGTTACACAGTTTAAAAGATCTAAGCAAACAGAAAGTGAAAGCTACTTTATTACATTCATATACCATCATTTTATATTATGTAAAGATTACAGCTAGATACTAAGGTTGAAGTTCAAGTCAATCTAATTTTTCATTCAGAATATTTTTACTACTAGGACATTTTTTATTACTTTATTTTAACTGGATGATTATGATTGCTATACCCTGGCTTGCGATATACATCTATGCTGGTGGGAAACCAGTGGAGGATGATGAAGAATGAAGTCAATTCAACAAATGAAGGTCATACACCTTGATTTGTTGATGATGATTTGACTTCATTCTTCTTTCTTTCTATTAGGAATTATTTCCAGAGAAATATCAATTGGAGAGTGATCAGACGACTATATCGATGAAGATAAAGCTTTTTTACTGTAAAGAAAAAGCATATATATACTCCATTAATTAAATTTATAGTTAAATATTAAAAAAGGCAATGATAATGATATGTGAGGATTACCATTTTGTTTAGAGAATTGTCTGTAATATACTGAATCATTACTTTTACAGTTGCAGCTACAGTTATTTTAACCTTATATATAGGTATGACAAAAGAGCCACCCTGTGCAGCTTTATCAGGTCCATGGTTTTCCCCAAATTCTTTTTCACTAATCATACTCATGAATACAAGTGTTTCCATCATGTGAATGGATGACAGGCATTCTGCTAGACTAAAGACCATCTGTCTGTGTATAATAAGGTTTAATTAATAAATTAGATGAAATATATGTACTTACATTGATGTCAGTGTGCATGATTAACAAATCCAGGGCAGGAACAATTTCTTGGATGGTCTTAACTGGTGGTGGGGGATCCTTACTTCTGCACAAGTTGACAATCACCCATGTGACATTACGTAGAAATGGTATAGGTATCTCTAGCTTGATGAAGTTGAGCAGTGGCTTCACTACCCCGAGCTCAATTACGAAATCTCTTAAAACAGGTCCGTCACCAATGATGTTGCCAAGGGCCCATACCGCTTGTTCACATACATTTTCATAAGGTGACATCAGGAGCTGTAGGAAGAAGGGCACCGCACCAGCATGGACCACTTTCGTCGTCTGTGCAGATGTTCCGGAAGCTATGTTTGTTAATGCCCACGCAGCTTCAAACTGGAGTGTTGAATTGTCGGTTCTGGATAGGCACTGAACAAGGATAGGAAGGATGCCGTGCGCGATCAACTCGTCGATGGGAGGGTTCTTGTCAGAGGAGAGCAGCTTTCTGCACTGTTGCACAGCCGCCAGCTGCACTTCCGTGTTTTCAACATTAGCTGCATTCATTACCAGCTCCTTAAGATCGGTAGCCGCTAAGCTCCTCTCGATCTCGTCTTCGTCCGTCGAGTCGCTGATCGGCACATTGCGACGTTTCTGTAAAGTCTCCTCTCTTTTGTTCTTTCTAAGTTCAACTGTGACTTCATTCCTCCGTCTGCGCATTTCCTAAAAACACGCAATAAACAAGTTGATTTATTTTCTTAAAGATTTTATACAAAAGATATGCTCACACTCGTGTTATTTATACATTAAAACACTTACGTCGACATCTTTTCCAGTGTTCTTGAATACATGCATGCGGTTCTTGGACTGATCAGTCGCCATTTTATTTGTTTTAACAATCTTTTTATAAACGTGGTAATTAGACAATGAAATAAAGAAAAAACATAAAATAACGGTACAAATAATTAAACAAACATGTTTTAACAGTACTATACGGATATGTGATTCATTTAACCTCGTAAAACACAGAATATTCTACAACAAAATGGTCCGTTTCACTATTTGACTTATTTTTTCTTTTTTTTCTCTATGCTCATTCTATATTTCTATTGTCTTTGACAGATGACCATAAACTGCTATAGACACAGTAAATAGTGATGTATCAGTACAACAATTGAAATATTAGCAAATTCAAAGAATTAATTATTTATAATGATTGATTCGCTCACTACAAAATGTAAAACTTAAAAATTGGAAACCAGTTTGTACCGCTAAATCCTTTATGGCCTTACTTTGTTTATAAGGAAAAAATATTGATAAATCAATAATATTTGCTGAGTTTTTTAACATTTATTAAAAAACTTTTAAGTTATAGATGTTACTGCAGGCTGAACTGAGAAACGAGTTAAAGTAACACTAGCGACGACACAGTAGTTTAAGAGTAGGTAATTACTTGTTGAGGGTACCATAGATTAAAGCGGGTAACTGATTTGTTTCATGGCAATACGGCTAGCGTAGCCAACAAGAAAATAAACAATTTCCATTGGTTTTTTAATACATTCTGTTCGGTATCGATTTATATATTCTGGTTGTATTTTAAATACGCATAAGGGTAATTCTTATAAAATGACTATTTTAACAAAGCCTAGTATAATCCTGAAGAAGTCTGATGTGACGGAGTCTCCATTGGTTCATGATACGACCATTTGCGATGAGGTGAGACCTATACAATGTATATTTATTTTTTCTAAATTGCTACTAATTTAACGGCTTGTATCAAATCTATAAATAATTAAAACCGTATCTTAAGCAAGAGACATTGAATGACCGTAATAATAAAGATTTCAAACGAGAGATTGAAAGTTTTTAAATATATGCATATAATCGCTTATTTTATTTAGGATAAAGTGGAGGTGCATATGCCACCGGTCTACTGGAGTCAGAAGAAGCGTTCTAATGGTCTACTGTGCATGTCGATGATCGCACTGCTGATGGCTGTCACGGGCATCATCAGCGGGCTGCTGCTGTACCGCCAGTACTTACGCACCAACATCGTCCACCGCTACCAGGGATTCTGCTCCATTCCAAGGGAACCTAAGCCAGTTGGTATCCTCTTTTTGAAATAAAAAATATTTTATTCATGTATAACAAGCTGCTTATGAATAAAGATGAAAGTATGTTGCTTAAAACAGAAAAAAAATTTTCAACAGATACTTTAATTTTTTTTCTGTGTCTATTGCAATGATTTGAATAAGTCACGGGTAGAGTGATTTCCAGTAGAATTATTGTCACTTATGGTGGTCCTGATTAGTCCTCTGATTCCAGTAACCAATGCCTCTTAAGGTGATATATATTGTTGGGGATTGTTGCGGAGTAATAATATGAGGTTGTTGGTAGAGACAATATATATTACAGATGATAATAGACTGACAATATGTACATAAAAATATTGATCTTGTATTATAAATGACAATAGGAAAATGTAAGGTGGGGTGACACAGTTCAGACACTGCAGTGCTTGATACACGATATTGGATTTGTCTTCATAGCGATTATTAAATGCAATTATTATTTTGATGTATCTAGGTAACTGTGTCCCATAGGGACTATCAGTTGGTTAGACAGTAGTCCACCCTGAAAAAAATCTTGATAAGTATGGTCAGTCTTTGAATAAAAAATGTATGTTTGGATAACATCTATTTACATTTTACATTTCAGGATGCACAGCTGCGCTGGCACTCGGACCCTGACCCAGATGTGCAGGTGTTCAGCACCACCGAAACTGACAATGATGTGGACGACCTGCTCGAGCGTCTCGAGATTGATGATGACTTTGAACGGATCATAGTGATTGATAGTGGCCGCAACGTTGAGTTCATCCATAACTTCAATATTAACATGACTGGTGAGTGCTTTATTGTTGAAATAGAATAAACCTAACATCAAGCAAAATTAATGTATATTTTTTTTAATCTACTGCCTATTTGAAATGCTGACTGTATTCAGTGTATCAAATAGAATAAGAAATTCTTTATTGAAATAAACTTAAATTTATAAAATTTTGAATAGTCATACATTTTTAGTCAACCATTAATTTATTTGGAAAGCTGTCTCATCACAAGAAGAATGAGACTTGTAACTTTACATTATTAAGTTGAAATGTGTGTATTTAACATTGTGAATACATACATATTCATTAATACATACACATAATACATTGTAGATAGAAATTACCAAGTAGCACTAATTACAATAAGCTGATTTAGTAACTAAATAAGATTAAATCAGTCTTAGTGACCAGAGTTAACAGTAATAAAGGTTATTTTTAATAATATTATTATTATTGCACACTACTTCCTACAATAAATATAACTAGAGTGGCTTATGCCCTGTTTACACTCAGCCCGAGTGGGTAGGGAAGTGAGCAGGCAGCGCGAGACTGGAAACACTTCCCATTCCATTGGCACTGCCACTCGCGCTGCCTGGCGCTCTTTCTATTGTCGGTTTTTCGTACCCTAGTCAAAGGACTGGCAGCGCGAGTGGCAGCGTGTTTTTACATTCAGCCCTCTCGCTCAGTTGTCGCCCGGCAATATTTCCAACAGCGCGAGTGGCAGGGGAAGCGGCTGAATGTAAATCTAGCATTACCAATTACTGTAAGCATGGAAATGGAAGCAGATATGGGTATTATACATTGAAAGGGACAGAGTGTAGGTATGTACACAACAGGTACACTTTAACACTTATTTAATTATTTTTAAAACATATGACACTTACTTCAGTTTTTTTACCGTAAATAATAATAAATACCCTTTTAAATATATGTAATAATACAGTCAACTTTACTTTAAAACAGGCTTTGACGTTTAACAACTTATTTAAGTTCAAAAGTATGTCTATATTTGTAAAAAAAAAATCATAAAAACGCGTGGTGAATACTATGAATTATTTTTTTAAGAAGTTTAAAAACGCATTATGAAATACTTTGAATTGCGCGGGAAAGTTCGCCATCAAAATGGCGGATCTTTTTTTTTTATTTTTCCTTTTCGCAAGAGGCATAGTGCCCATAACATAATAGGCGATCGATATATATAGGCCAGGTGTATTTATTAAATAAAAGTGCACAGAAAACGTTCATATAGTTTAATTTTCAAGGAGACAAATAGTTGACTATTATCAGTTGCCTGCACAGATTTGCTTTTTCACACAACCACAATGTTAATTAACAAACAGGAAACGGATCAGAATAATGGACAGTAACAGGTTAAATTGGAATTACTCGTAATTAGTGATCATATTATGGGAAATAAAAATGGATTCGACGATTCGAACGATCTTAGATTACCTGGCAAAAAATCTATGATTGTCGTAGCTATTATGACTATAAAATATTAAGTTTTGGTAGTAAAAAATAATTGTTATAATTAATTTTTATTATAGAATTTAGCTACTGTAATTTTTGTTCTTGTCTTTAGCACTATCCAGTGCTTCAAAAACATTTGTACATACATCAATTACATTACGTACCTCGCATGATTTTCAAATACAAGTCACGAAAGTTCTAATACATGCGCAAATCGCTTAATGTCCGGCTTTTTAAAAACTATTGTTTTTATATTTGTTAAGTAGTTAATAGTTAATAATTTTAGACCAAAATTAATACGTTTATTGTAATTTGGAATAATTATTACATTTTTAATGTTATCATTATAGTAATAAGGCAAATAAAAGCTATTTAAAGTTTTGCCGTAAATTGTACGTCAGTTCAAAGCTACATCGCTCACTCGATCCCGACCTGTCAGTAAGGCAAACTCTGAGCGGCCGGACTGTAGACACAACCGCATGCGTTTCTGAATAAAAAAATATTTATTTTTATTTATTTATTTATTAATTAAAGGAAAACCAAGGCTATTTAAGTATATCTTAAATAAAATAAATATAGACGTCATACTAAGCCACTGACAGGCTTTCATTAATAACAACAGACTAATTAAAAAAAAATTACATCACTACGTATAAAGGCAACAACACATTATAAGCTTAACAGAGAATATGAAATTAATTAACAAGAGAGAAAATACATATATGATTGCGTTTACCCCGCATTGAATCGCGCGTTATCGTGATCGCGCGGGTATGACAATAAGCCAAGGGGAAAAATGAGTAGGGTTGGTGAACGTAGCGCGTTATAGTGTGTCGGTGACTTAAAATATCGGGTGGTGTCGGCAGGTATCGTGGACAAGGACCGGTGCTTCTTCATGCCGCTGGAGACGTCGCTGGTGCTGCCGCCGCCGCAGCTGCTGGCCGGCGTGGGCGCCGCCGGCGGCTGGGACGTGTCGCGCGTGCGCAGCGCGCTGCTCGCCGCCCTGCCCCCCGCGCCCCCCGCCGGCCTGCTGCGCACCATGCGCACCGCCTGCCGCCCGCGCACCTCCTACATGCTGCGGCCCGCCGACCTGCTCGGTGAGTGACCCCCCCCCCCGCCCCCCGCGCCCCCCGCGCCCCCCGCCGGCCTGCTGCGCACCATGCGCACCGCCTGCCGCCCGCGCACCTCCTACATGCTGCGGCCCGCCGACCTGCTCGGTGAGTGACCCCCCGCCCCCCGCCCCCCGCCCCCCGCCCCCCGCGCCCCCCGCCGGCCTGCTGCGCACCATGCGCACCGCCTGCCGCCCGCGCACCTCCTACATGCTGCGGCCCGCCGACCTGCTCGGTGAGTGACCCCCCGCCCCCGCCCCCCGCCCCCCGCGCCCCCCGCCGGCCTGCTGCGCACCATGCGCACCGCCTGCCGCCCGCGCACCTCCTACATGCTGCGGCCCGCCGACCTGCTCGGTGAGTGACCCCCCGCCCCCCGCCACCCGCCCCCCGCGCCCCCCGCCGGCCTGCTGCGCACCATGCGCACCGCCTGCCGCCCGCGCACCTCCTACATGCTGCGGCCCGCCGACCTGCTCGGTGAGTGACCCCCCGCCCCCCGCCCCCCGCCCCCCGCGCCCCCCGCCGGCCTGCTGCGCACCATGCGCACCGCCTGCCGCCCGCGCACCTCCTACATGCTGCGGCCCGCCGACCTGCTCGGTGAGTGACCCCCCGCCCCCGCCCCCCGCGCCCCCCGCCGGCCTGCTGCGCACCATGCGCACCGCCTGCCGCCCGCGCACCTCCTACATGCTGCGGCCCGCCGACCTGCTCGGTGAGTGACCCCCCGCCCCCCGCCCCCCGCCCCCCGCGCCCTCCGCCGGCCTGCTGCGCACCATGCGCACCGCCTGCCGCCCGCGCACCTCCTACATGCTGCGGCCCGCCGACCTGCTCGGTGAGTGACCCCCCGCCCCCCGCCCCCCGCGCCCCCCGCCGGCCTGCTGCGCACCATGCGCACCGCCTGCCGCCCGCGCACCTCCTACATGCTGCGGCCCGCCGACCTGCTCGGTGAGTGACCCCACGCGCGCGCCCCTCCGAGCTCCCCGCCGGCCTGCTGCGCACCATGCGCACCGCCTGCCGCCCGCGCACCTCCTACATGCTGCGGCCCGCCGACCTGCTCGGTGAGTGACCCCCCGCCCCCCGCCCCCCGCGCCCCCCGCCGGCCTGCTGCGCACCATGCGCACCGCCTGCCGCCCGCGCACCTCCTACATGCTGCGGCCCGCCGACCTGCCCCCCGCCCCCCGCCCCCCGCGCCCCCGCCGGCCTGACCATGCGCACCGCCTGCCGCCCGCGCACCTCCTCCATGCTGCGGCCCGCCGACCGGCTCGGTGAGTGACCCCCCCCCCCCGCCCCCCGCGCCCCCCGCCGGCCTGCTGCGCACCCTGCGCACCGCCTGCCGCCCGCGCACCTCCTACATGCTGCGGCCCGCCGACCTGCTCGGTGAGTGACCCCCCGCCCCCCGCCCCCCGCGCCCCCCGCCGGCCTGCTGCGCACCATGCGCACCGCCTGCCGCCCGCGCACCTCCTACATGCTGCGGCCCGCCGACCTGCTCGGTGAGTGACCCCCCGCCCCCCGCCCCCCGCGCCCCCCGCCGGCCTGCTGCGCACCATGCGCACCGCCTGCCGCCCGCGCACCTCCTACATGCTGCGGCCCGCCGACCTGCTCGGTGAGTGACCCCCCGCCCCCGCCCCCGCGCCCTCCGCCCCCCATGCCCCCCGCGCCCCGCACCTCCTACATGCCGCCGCCTGCTGCGCACCATGCGCACCGCCTGCCGCCCGCGCACCTCCTACATGCTGCGGCCCGCCGACCTGCTCGGTGAGTGACCCCCCGCCCCCCGCCCCCCGCGCCCCCCGCCGGCCTGCTGCGCACCATGCGCACCGCCTGCCGCCCGCGCACCTCCTACATGCTGCGGCCCGCCGACCTGCTCGGTGAGTGACCCCCCGCCCCCCGCCCCCCGCGCCCCCCGCCGGCCTGCTGCGCACCATGCGCACCGCCTGCCGCCCGCGCACCTCCTACATGCTGCGGCCCGCCGACCTGCTCGGTGAGTGACCCCCGCCCCCCGCCCCCCGCGCCCCCCGCCGGCCTGCTGCGCACCATGCGCACCGCCTGCCGCCCGCGCACCTCCTACATGCTGCGGCCCGCCGACCTGCTCGGTGAGTGACCCCCCCGCCCCCCGCCCCCCGCCCCTGTGATAGCAAGTCATCACTTTTCGACGTGCAATCCGCATGTATACCACTTACAGGGGTGGCCAGATTACATTGCCTCGGCTATTTAGCTTTACATTCTGGACAAACCCGCTCCTTAGCTTTCCATTCTGGGCAATGAAATGAAATGAAATGAATATTTATTGCTTAAAATGTGGTACATGTGTGGTTTTTAAGATCTTTAGAACTAGTTTCACACATTTTGTCATTTCTGACATGCAACAGACAAAACAGATGTCAATTTTGGTTATTATTGCAAACCCAGGTAAGCCAAGTAAACCCAGGTAATATTATTATTATTTGTTGATTCCAGTCCGCAAGCGGTCAGTGGACGAGCCCCAGCACGACTACATCCAGTTCGCGGGGCAGCACATCCAGGAGATCCAGATCAGCAACATGGCCGAGCTGCTCGAGTACGAGCGCAACCACGCTTAGAGCATCGGCCCTCACGTGGCGGACGACATCGCACCACCACACATCGTACCGACCACACCACACACAGTTATGACTCTTGATATCGTCAAACTAATTTACAAATTATAAATTTTACAATAATTTGACATGTACAAAATTCTCTTTATTCTCTTATTCTCCTTTAACTGAGTTTGTAAAACTAATCATTTAATAATTTGACATTTGCAAAAATAATATTTATATGCTGAGGTTAATTTGGTCCTACCAGATTTCAAATTATCAATTTTACAATAATTTAACATTTACAAAAATGTTATACATATTTTTGCTGAGTTTAATCGGGCAAAGATATTACATCTAAAGAGTATCAGGGCTCTGGAAAATACTGAAAGAAATATTAAAATATTGAAAATGAAGCATTAAGGATTTGGTCAAACCAGTATTCAAATTATAAATTTTACAATAATTTGACATTTACAAAAATGTTATGTTTTTGCTGAGTTTAATCGGGCGAAGATAATAGGTCTGAAGATTTCAAAAGGTCTGAAAATACTGAAATAAATATTGGTAATGAAGGATTTCGTTTACCCATTAAAAAAAGTTTTGACATGGAAAATATTATTTTTAGTTCATAATTTTAATTATAAAACATTATTAAAAAGTAAGATATTGTATTGAAAATAGTATTATTTGTTAGTTTTAATAATTCTCAAAGTGGAGCATTTATGAACTCGTTTTTTTTTTGTGTACTTTATTTTATATTTTCGCTATTAATTAAAAATGTTAATACATGATCTCACTTGTAAACCAAAGTATTGTTTTGTCCAATAATATGTATATTCCAATTGGTTTTAGAAAGGGATTTAACACAATTTATCATCATTACATAAAATAGAAAATAAAACAGTTCACAAACTTTAATAATATATAAGTTTTAAAAATAATAGTTATTTCACCCGATCTCTTTCGAAAAGTAATTGTGAATATTTGTTATTAACTATAGCCTATTGATGCTATATCTAATAGTCATATTATGGAAGGGAAATCTCAAAAATATATTATTGCATTTAATATATACCTACGGGTTTTGCATTATTTTCATTATAATAAAATGTACGTTATATTAGTTGTGTACTGAAACTTGATTTAAAGGAAGTTTCTATCTGTAATCAGGATATTCTATACTGCCAAAAATATAGTATATCATAGTATGATAGTATACGTTATACTAAAACTACAGAGTTAGACATATAAGGCATACCAATGCCAATGACTATTTTATTCATGAAACTGAAAACTTACCCAAAAAGGCACAGCCGTAAATTGTACATAATTTTGTAAACCATACATAACTGTATCAATCATTCCCATCGTAATAGGCTGTGTATACAATTCTTGTGACATTCCTGAAGCGTGGAAAGTGATAGCTATAAATGTACTGGTTGGTTTTTATAAGTATTATTTTTTTAATATAAATTTGTTCTTTTTTATAACATAAATTTCTCAATCCAGTATATGACGGACGTATAACTAGAAATGATGCTATATGATAGTGAAAGTCGTATCAAAATCTGTTGCGTAGTTTTGAAGTAAATTGAAAAACAGAAAACTTCATTCTATTTGTATGGTAGATTGTGTGCTAGTGGTAGGAAGTACAGTGGTGGATGTCTAAGAACAACGTCACGGTAGTGTCCCATGATATTTTAGAATACTATATTAAAGTCCTAATTGTAGTATGTAAGCACACGATTTAATCTCTAGTTTAGGCGTATACACTTTATATGTCGTTAGAATATGAATTTAAGTTTATTATTACATCTTATTCATAATAATTTAAACTTGCAACACCATTTCAGCCATTACACATGTTTTGTCCTTTTTTCACATATTGAATTCTGTATAAATATTACAGATGCGAGAGTGAGTGAGTATGTTTGCCACATTTTCACGACTAAACAGCTGAACTGATTAATGATTAACATAAAGTTAGTGATTGTGTAAGGGAGTAGTACAGAAGTATAATTTTATCTTAAAAGAACAGATGAAGTCGCAGTTTATAATATATATAGTACTAAGGGACATAAAAAAGGTTAAAATGTAGGTTGCATTTTTATGAATAAGGTGTACTTTTTTATATAAATATAACGGTTGTGGTACATCACTAAATGCACTGGTAAGAATAGATAGTTGGGCACACTTGTCTGAGCTGGTCAGCACAGCTAAGAATTTATAGTGTGGGTTAAATAAGGGCTGTTTCGAAATATTTTATGCTGGCAACCCATATTGATATTGCGCAGTCATGTTAATCACTAATAGGTAAAGAATTTTCGGTATGTTTCTATAAATTGTTATATTATTGTTTAATAAAGTGCATTTTATTTATTTATATATAGATTATTTGAATGAAGTGGTTGTTATAGTGGTTTAGTGGTGTATCACAATCAATATTTGACGTAAAATAAATGTGAATTATTGGTCTAGTGCCATTACAATGTATTTATTTCTCATATGCCATACCTGCTTCCCACATGCCGCCAAGTCTCTCCTAAAATATTTTTAGTAACATACTCACCGTTTAGATAATATTAGCTGTGCTCTAAACGTATTTAGGTGTTTAGTATGACTGTTAGTTTCCAAGAACAATAAAAGCAATAGAAATCGGAGTATAATAGTAACTAAATTCTATGCTTTTATCATATTTTGACTTATTTTTACCAATAAGTTAGGAAAAATTGCATTCGATAGTTTGAGGGTTGCCAGTACTTTTCTAAATGAGCTAACATTACCTCTATCCATATCTCTACGACCGTTGCATATTGGCTCATGTTCAATTATAAATTTAGTACGCTTTCTTATTGAAAACGTCAATCTTATGGATTTCGAACTGTTATTTGTAGTTATGCAATCTTTTCTAACTTATCTGTAACTCCATACGCGGATTTATGACAAATTTTGCTGCTACTTTACACCGGTTTGTATTGATTTAGCTATTGTTCTTAGGTTTTCATATTCGACATTCATGTTTAGTTTCCGGAATGAGTATTGTAAATGCTTCAAATATAAAGTGTACTTTATAATTCTCAATTCGGAAAGTTTAGTGTTTTAATGTATCACACATGTTTTTTTCTAGGCTTATTTTGTAACATTACATTATGCCTAAAATAAAATATCGCTACAAATGTTGTTGTTTATTTACATACCTACCTAATAAATTTCCTTTTCTTTTACTCTCCAAACGGTCCCCGTCCGATTCAAATGGAAATCGAAATTACGATAGCCTAAGTTGAGGTTCGAACCCCTAGAGGTGCCTTCAGAATGAAGACGTATTTGTCAGGCAGGAGTTGGCCTTCAGCTGCTCCTTTGCAGGAAGGAGCAGCTGAAGGCCAACTCCTGCCTGACAAGAATTTCTAGGATAGCAAATTTAGATTGTTTACTTTTTTTTTTAATATGGATGATAATGGAATGGTGCACCCGTCTGCGCTAACGGTTTACGCTGGCGGGCACCAGTGGAGGATGATATGAAGTCAGGTCAGTTAGCCCATCGTGACAAATTCGCCAAGAATTTATCACGATGGTTTCCAGGGGGAACCGCGTGGAGGTTAACCTGACATGGTACATTGCTAGCAATAAGTGCATTAGTCCATATTACTAACAATCCCCTTTCCCCCCCGATCGATAGAAACGTCAAAACGTACAGATTGGTTATTAATACGCCACAAACGTCACTTTCATACAAATGTCAATCCAAGGATTGCGATCCGCAATGTCAATCCATAGATAGATTATTGGCACGCGTTTTACAAAAATAGATTGCAATTTCAATCTTAGATTAAATGACGAAATTGAACGTCTCTGTTAAACTATAAATCGTGCCAATGCTTAGAGAGATAAAAATAAATATTATGATTAAATACATAAATTACGCTAACTATTTTTGACCTTATTCTCTTTGCATTAAGTTTCAGTATCGCAAATTTCTAGCAGACTTAAAAAAAAAAAAAAAATCGGCATCTTTCTTCTACAAACAGAATGCATGTCATGCCTGCCTGCGTTCCTCTTTGTCGTCGATATGAATAGTTCTTTGATATTTTCTCATATAGAATTTCATTTTTTGTTTCATTATTATAAAACAACCACAGAGAAAAATATACAGCGCTAGTAAGTATATAAATTTGACAACAAAACGCTAAACTATTTGTCTGGCTTACTATAGTTATTTATTGATATTAAATTCACACCTGCAATAAAATACCGTTTGCAAAGAATTGTCTTTATGAATCGATTAGTGATTAGCGTAGCAACTTTATTTGGCGCCAAAAATTGACACAGTGAAAACCACAGATAATATTGTGATAACCAAAGAGCTGCATTCATTTTTTAGTATATATTATTTTACTATTAATAATATACGTTACGGTTGGACGTAATTATAAATACCGATACTTACGAGGTTTACAGAAAGTATTTTGATTAGATTTTCGCATTATATTCATGGACCGATCATTAGACAATCAATTTCGTACAGCAAACATCGTTCAATCCAAGAAAAGCCGCTTCGACGTACCCATATTTGCATATTTCAACAATATCTACATGTAACTAGGTAGCTATATCCATTATTATTAATCGATAGTTGCGACTTACGATTCCTCGGTGTCGTTCTGTTTTGTTTGTGTACAGTACACTGTTCATTGTACTAATATTGGAGACTATCCACTCGGAAGCTGCATGCAGAGCCGGATTATATGTTCCATGAACGTCTATTTATACCTACTAGTCTATATATTAATACGAGAAGCAAAAACTTTGTACCCCTTTATACGAAAAATTCGCAAACGGAGGAGTATGTATTTTCTTACATTTATAGTATACATAGAGAAGATTTTTTTTTAAATGATGCATAAAATATACATTAAATCAATAAAAAAAAATTGTACACACTATTTGACAGACACGCATAGGTATATAGCTACTCCTTTGTTTATTATTAAAGTCTGTGGTCAAATTGAGAATAGATAAATATTATTTGTCTATAGTCTGACTGAATGTTAAATTAATTATGACCGATAATTACAAAAAAAAAAAATAATTGCAATCCAACTTCTGTGGTAGCGAACTCTGAAAAGGGCGAGCACAATAGATCTATGTAGGTCGCAGTGCTACAGGTGCTACACATCTGACAATAGCCCAAACAATCTAATAAAAAAAAATAAAAACCTCAGTGGTATCATGTTATAAATACATTTGTCTGAGTAATGTGAAATTTATTACATAATAGTAAGACAGTATATAAAATTAATCAAG